GATGCCTGGGGTTCTTAAGTTGAATCTGTATGTAAGTCAGAACTGGCGTCCAGATTCAGCCACTGTTGAAACTGATCAGTTTCATCAGCGGCTGAATCTGGATGTCAGTTCCGACTTACATACAGATTCAACTTAAGAACAAACCTACAGTCCCTATCTTGTACGTAACCCGGGGACTGCCTGTACTTAAGTTAATGAACAATGGGTTTCTAATGATTTATCCACATCATGGTTTAGGGTCAAAGTTAGCAAAAGGTTGAGAACCTCTTCATTAAGTCATTTAATTGTTTTTTTAAAAAAATTAAAACATTTGTTATGGAAGAATTCAATTAAATGAACATTCTAAGGTTAACAAAAACAAAGCATCAACTGAATAACTACCACAGGACTTTTTACTGTTTTCCAGTACCTTCATCTTTGTTTAACTTGAAAAACAAAGGCAGTGTGGGTGAGGTAATATCTTTTATTGGAGCAGCTTTGTTTGGTGAAAGATGCAGGCAGGCTCAAGACTTCTTACCCCCTCCCCCACCTGGGGTCATGTAGTATTTTTTGTTGTCAAAGGGGGTTGCGGTGCAATGAAGACTGAGTACTCCTGCAATATACAGATTACCGTTTCCTAACATGCTAAAAATGTACAATTAAGAATCTGAAAATATTAGTCCATATAGTTGTTTAAACAAATATATAGGTATAGTGTACCCTTCAGTGTAGCAAAAAGATATACCGTGTGTCATGTAAAAATTATTTAGTTGTTCAAAAGTTTCAGAGGGGTAGCCAAGTTAGTCTGTAACAGGAAAAACTTATAAAACAATGAGAAGTCTAGTAGCAGCTTAAAGACTAACAAAATATGTTGACGGTATCATGAGCATTAGTGGGCACAACCCACTTCATCTGAAGAAGTGGATTGTGCCCACGAAAGCTCATGATACTGTCAACATATTTTGTTAATCTTTAAGGTACTATTAGGCTTTTCATGTTTTGTTTTTTTTAAAGTTGTTAAACCTGTTTTAATGGTTACATCAACCAGTAAGTATGCAATTTACTTCAAAACAGAAGTCCCCAAACTGTGGGGCATGCCCACTGGGAGTGTGTGTATAGAGGACTGTTCTGGGGGGAGCACCACTTAGCTCTGTTCCTGGCCCTGCCTCCCCCTTCCTGCTTTGCTCCCAGCCCTTCCCTCACCCCTAGTTGTAGCCTCAGCCTTGGTTCTTTCACCTCTTCTCCTCTTCTTGGCCCTACTCCCAGCCCTGGCTCTCAGTGTTGTGTGAGCATTGATAGAGGTAAGGGGGGCCCTGAGGTAAACAGTTTGAGAACCACTGCTTTAGAAAATAACTGACATATAAGTAGAAAAGTTGATTCAAATTAATTATTAAAATCAATTTGTACTAGGTAGTTTAAATCATGTTTTTAATACTTTGATTTAAATCAATCCATAAGTTTATTATAGTTTCAGTTCAAAATTGTTTTGTAGTGCTTCTCTGAACTTTTAGAACATTTCACTGACTTTATTGTTGTTCTTGTATTATCTTCATATGTTTATAAGCTTTGAAGCTCCTTGGGATCTGTTGTCTTTTAATAAAAAGTGCTATGCAACATCTTCAGTTCAGGTGTAATGTGAAGTGTAATGGGTGAATTGGCTGAACTGAGACATATAACTATTTTAAAGTATTATGCTAAAGAGGGACTTGTGGAATATTTAAAGTTCGCTGCTCTGAAAATCCTTTTAATTTTAAGGTTGAGCCATCACTGCAAAGATTACTCAAGTAAGCCTAGCTTGAGTGAGAGTGTCCACACTGCAAAATATTTGAAGAGCCCAAGGTGATTATGTTAGCAGCCAACAAGCTGTCTTACTCAAACCATAAATTAGCCCACCTGGTGGGCCAGTAACTTTAGGAGCAACACTTGAGCTGTAACTTGATTTAATACTGCGGTGAACACAAACCATAACGGGGCTGCTATGCTTGAGGCTGTGTGTTTCTAGCGTATTAAATAGACTGTTCTAAGGATAGTGGTTTCCCATAATCCTTTATAAACCTGGCAATAATAAACCTGTCATATTTTGAAAGTGTAGATATAAATGTGGGTCTCCCTTAAATAGATACCCTGTGCATCTTGATGACATCTGGCAGTGTGCTTTAATGCAGTAGTTCGATACTGCTTAATATTGACTGTAAGTTATGTAAGGCAAATGGAAAGCTGTATGTTTACTGAAATCCCATCTTATAGGCAAGGGCTAAAACGTAGCAAAGCCCCTCCTCCAGAGGATTATAGACATTGTATTCATTGGTAGTTTGTGTATTGCCACGTAACTGATGTATGCCTCTGCTACAGATTAGGATGCAACAGACTGCATGAGGAAAGGTCTGTCTGATCACACCAGTTC